AAATCCAAGGGACCTAGAATATCCAAAGCAATTTCAATAGAGAAGAACAAAGTAGCAGGAGTTTCCCTACCTCGTTTCACAACTTACTATTAAGCTACAGCAATCAAGACAGTTTAATATTGGTGAAAAAATACATATATAGATCAATAAAACAAAATAGAAAGTATAAAATATACCTACATATGTCTAATTTTTGACAAAGGTACAAAGGCTATAGGATGGAGAAAGGAAAGTCTCCTCAACAAATGGTGCTGTATTAGTCCAATATCAATATGGAATAAAATGAACATGAGAGTTTACTTCATACCTTAAACAAAAATTAACATGAGATGGTTCATAAAATAAAATGAAAAGCCTAAAACTATAAAACTATTAGAGTAAAATATGGGATAAAGTCTTCATAACCTTGGATTAGGCAACACATTATTTAAATAGGACACAATTATAAAAAGGAAAAGTGGATTAAATGTACTTCATGCAAATTTACAACTTTTGGTCTTGAAAGAAATCATTAAGTAAATGAAAAGGCAAACCAAGACAGAAAAGTGTATAACATATATATCAAAGAAATTGAATATAGAATTTATAAATAAATCTTGCAACTCAGTAGTAAGAGGACAAACAACCAAATTTTTTAAAATTAGCAAAATATTGGGTCACCTGGGTGGCTCAGTTGGTTAAGGGTCTGCCTTCAGCTCAGGTTGTAATCTCAGGGTCCTGGGATTGAGCCCATATTTGGGCTCCCTGCCCAGCAGAAAGCCTGCTTCTCCATCTCCCTCTGCCCCTCCACTACTAATGCTCATGCTCTCTCTCTCTCTCTCTCTCTCAAATAAATAAAAATCTTAAAAAATATTAGCAAAATATTTGAACAAATTATTTCGCAAAAGAAGATATATGAATAATAAGTACGTGAAAAGATACTGAACATGATTAGTCACTAGAGAAATAAAAATTAAAGCTACAATGTAACACACACCTTTTTAGAGTGGTTTAGATTTCTAACAGACACATGAAAAGATGCTCAACATCATTCATCATCAGGGAAATACAAATCAAAACTACAATGAAATAGCCTCTCACACCTGTCAGAATGGCTAAAATCAACAACACAGAAAAAAAACAGGTGTTGGTGAGGATGCAGAGAAAGGGAATACTCTAACTTTTTGGTGGGAATGCAAACTGGTGCAGCCACTGTGGAAAACAGTATGGAGTTTCCTCAGAAAGTTAACAGTAGAACTACCCTATGATCCAGCAATTGCACCAAGAGGTATTTATCCAAAGAATACAAAAACATTATTCAAGGGAATATATTCATCCCAATGTTTATAGCAGCATTATTTACAACAGGCAAACTATGGAAAGAGCCCAAGTGTGCATTGACTGATGAATACTTGTCAATGCACAAATATTATGAAGCACAATTTATTTACTTGTAAATAAATTTATTTATTTGTAATAGCCCAAAATTGGAAAGTACCTAAGTATCCATCAAGAGATGAATGGATAAACATTCACCATATCATGGAATACCACTTAGCAGTAGAAAGGAATATGCTATTATTACATGCAAAATCATTATGTTGAATGAATGAAGCCAGATAAAAATAAGAGTATATGCTCTGTGATATAAAAAGTATTGCAAAAAACAAAATATAGGGACAGAAAGCAGACCAGAGGTTGCTTGAGGATGCGGGTGGAAGGAGGGATAGATTACAAATGGGAAGAAAGAGACTTACAGAAATAATGGAAATGTTTGCTATTTTCATTGTGGTCATGATTTCATAGGCTTCAATATACATAACACAGATCAAATTGCATAGTTTAGGTCTTTTTAAACTTTATACCTTTATAAAGCTAAATAATTACTCACACGTAGACACAGACTGAAAGGACTGGAAGTGATAACTTGTATTGGTGTTTTCTTCTCCTGATACTTCGTTTATTTTTACTTTTTTCATTATAAGTTCAATTTTTCCTTGGTGGCCTCTTTAAAGTATCCCTCAATGAAATCTCCATTTTCTGTTAATTGAAGATGACAACATATGCTTTTGGAAGACTCTTCTCAGAGATCTCTTTGTGTTTTTAATTACTGGGCTTCTATCCAAAGCCTTGCCTCAAAATCTATAAAATCATACACATATTCGAGAAACTAAATAGTTACAAACATGAACACATAAATGAGTGATAGGGATGAATGCATTAGTTTGTTGTTCCTGGCTGATTTCATTTTTTGGTTTTGTTTTCATATTTATTTTCTTGCCAGCCTCTTTAGGGACACTTCCATATAATACATCTATCTCTATTGTCACCTTAAAGAGTCAGAATATATTACCCACCAAGATTGACCCTCCCATGGGATGTGTGGATTCACTAAAGTAACTCAGTTCTCCTTCAATCACCTTCTGACTTGGTGACTTTTACTTTATTCCCTGGCTATTACTTTTTCCAAAATTCTGTTCTCGTTCCTCCACCTTTGCTGAAACACTCAGAAAAGGGTGCTTGTTTGTCTTCAGTCATGTTCTGATCATGGTCCCTGAATTTTACGTTTCTAGAAAGTTCTGTACTTATACCTGACCATCAGAGAAACTTCCAGGAGAGGTGTCTTAATTTGGTTCTCCTTCAACCAATCATATTGTTACCTTGTTCCCTGACCTTTACCACTTCTAGAAAGTTCTGACTTCATCTCCCTCAGAAACACCAAAGAAGGGGGCTTTATTTCAGTTTTTTCAAAAAATCTCATTCTGAACCCCAACATTGACCTTTACTTCTTTTGGAAAGTCTGTCCTCATCTCCCACCACCCCCAAAGAACCCTGGTGGGAGGCTTCCTTCAGTTATCCTTCCACCCATTAAGTTCTAATCTCACTTTCCACCCACAGATTTTTTAAAATTGAGGCTAGCTTGGGAAATCTGGGACTGGTGTATGGAAAGGTATAGTATTGATTTTCAGAAGGACCAAAAGGCCACTCATGAACATCAATCAGCTAGCCTTTATGAATTGCCTAAGTTCACCACCTTGCATTTCCAGATCAGAATCTCCATCATCCCCTTCTTCTAGACAGAAGCTGAAAGATCATTCCAGCTCCAAAAGGTTGTAAGGGGCGCAGAGCTCTCATTAAGTGTTTGCCAATTAAACATGCAGGGAATCTGATGACTTAAGTGTGAACAAATAAACAGTGATTTTGTTTAAGTTGTACGTTTGTTAATGCACACACTGGCAATCAGCACACATATATTTCCAAATCATGCCTCGTGGAGGTACTGTGGGAAGGATATAAGCATCCTGAACTGGGGACTGTGGTCTCAGCTCTACCACTAACTGGTTGTGTGAACTTGGGAAAACCGTTTCCCTACCTAGTTTCTTCACTGTGAAATGAAGTTTGAATTAGTGATTTAAGACAAAAATTTTAATTTCAATTTAATTAACATATACTGTATTATTAGTTTGAGGGAGAATTCAGTGATTCATCACCTGCATAGAACACCCAGTGGTTCAATTGCCCTTCTAAATGCGCATCTGCCAGTTATCCCCCCACCTCCCCTTCCCCCAATAAACCCTCAGTCTATTCCCTAGAGTGAAGTCTTATGGTTTGCCTCCCTGTTTTTGTCTTATTTTATTTTTCCTTCCCTTCCCTTTTGTTCATGTTTTGTTTCTTAAATTCCACAAATGAAATCATATGGTATTTATCTTTCTCTGAAGGACTTATTTCACTTAGCATAGTACCCTTTGGTTCTATCCACATCATTGCAAATAGCAAGATTTCATTCATTCTGATGGCTGAGTAATATTCCAGCGTGTGTGTGTTTAGTGGCAGAGAAAGGTGCTGGAGTTTATGTATATTATAATATATATAAAGTTAATATATATATACACATACAAAGATATGGTATCTACATCTTTATCCACTCATCTGTCAATGGATATCTAGGCTCCTTCCATATTTTGGTCAATTGTGGACATTGCTGCTATAAACATTGGGGTGCATGTGCCCCTTTGAATCACTGTATCTTTCAATAAATACCTAGTAGTGCAATTGCTGGGTTGTAGGATAGCTTTGTTTTTAACTTTCTGAGGAACTTTCATATTGTTTTCCAGAGCAGCTGTACCAGTTTCTTTTACCTTGCAACCTACATTTAGAAATACATTTTATAAGGCTATAATATTTCCTACATGTAAAAAAAGTTTCTTAAAATAACTTTTTTAAAAGATGAATTTACAGGTACCTGGGTGGCTCAGTTGGTTAAGTATCTCAGGTCATGATCCTAGAATTCTGGGATGCAGTCCCACATCTGGCTTCCTGCTCAGTGGAGTCTGCTTCTCCCTATCTCTCTCAAATAAATAAATATTTTTTAAAAGAGATTTAGTTTAGAGGGGTAGGAGAGAATCTCAGACTCCCCACTGAGCATGGAGCCTGATTTCAGAACCCATGAGATCATGACCTGAGCCAAAACCAAGTCAGATGATCAACCTACTAATTCACTCAGGCACCCCTCAAAATAATCCTTACTACTACTCATGGGCAATGGACTGGTTTTTTTGTTGGTGTTGAAGATTGCTTGTTGTGACCCACAAAACTAATTTTGAGAGCCATAATGATAAAAAAGGAGCCATAATGGGTGGCAATTGTCACTTTGAAAAATACTGGATTGCCAAGGCTTTTTTTTTTGGATTGCCAAGTTTTTAAGCTTTCTCTCCGATTTCCTAAAAACGAGTTTCTGTATTGGAAATATACTAAAAAATTTTAAAAACAGCCTCAATGTTACTGAGTCTCTTAGACCTTCCTCAGCTTATCACTTGTAAGTCAAATATGCTCTTATCCCCAGATGACAAGGTCTTCTAGAAAATGGCCCAGGCCAGATATATAGTAGGGGGTAGCTTGGTACTTAGCATCTCTTAACTTCAGTACCCTAATCTACCACTACCTTCACCCCTCTTATAATGTCTATTTTAAGGTCTTGTACTTTTCTTTTTTAATGTTTTTGTCCATTGAATTCAGGTAAACATTCTTAATTTTACTTTATTGCTCACACTTAACATGACAACATACACCTATGTACATAGATAGATGCATACATACATACATACCACAGTGTCCTCAAATTAGAGGTGTACACTAGATTTACCTGGAAAGCTTGCTAAAAAACGGAGATTCTGGAGTGCCCATCTGTGTATCTGGAGGACAGAAGCCAGATATTCTATATTCTCAAATCTCCCTTTCCCAAGGTGTTTTTATGCAGGTGGAAGACTCATACTCCTTGAAAAACAGTAGAGCACATACATTGTTAAAATGACATCAGATATTGAGTTAGGAGTATGATCCTTCCTTTGTTCATTGGATGGAAACAACAACAAAAACAGTCAAAGACTAGAGATTTTGCATTTAGGTAGCTAGGAGAGAAAAAGTAGTATTATAAAATAAAGACTAGGGTGAAAGCAGAAGATTACTGTTTCAACTGCTTTATTAATTTCAATTATGAAAAGAATAGTTTTTTCTAAAACTGGGTGAAATTGCCCTGCTGGACAGAAAGTTTTACAGAGACAAAACAATATTTAATTACAAACTGGTAACTGGAAACACCAAATGTTTACAGAAAAAGTAAATCACAAAACTACAAGCTTGTGGAGCAGAGGCCACATTATTAACCTCAGGGAAAACCTTAAGATTCACGGTATAAGGCAAAAGTCATAATGATTATCAGGTTCAGGAGTTTGGAAGCGCTTATGATGCTTCATTTGCTGCTCTTTAGTCTTTCTCCTGATCTCCATCATTTGCCCTACGAACTTTTCCACATCATCTCCCATTTCATTGTGATCAATATTCTTGTTAGGTATGGCCCATCGAAAATTAGGGACAAGTCGTCTCATTCGCCCCAGCTTAACATTTCTTCCATTCTTCTTGCCTTCACTCCCTTTCGAATTGCATGATTCCTCTTCATTCTCCACAGAGCTCTGTTCTTCGTTTTCCTGCTGGGCACTTTCCACGTTGACACTTTTCACCACTTGTTTCTCTTTGGACGCCATTGCTCCTAAAAGACAAAAGAGCAATGATTTTCTTAGTGGACTGATCAGCACCGAGGACAGAGGCCCTACTATGCACATTCCAAGATTCAAAGCCCTGGATCTCTTCAGTTTTTTAAAATTTCATTTTCCCACCTGAGAGGCTCCCTACACCCTCCAGGGGGCACCCGGTCCGAGCCCCCCTCCCGCCCCCGTCGCTCCCCTCCCCGCCCCCCCCCCACCCAAAGCCCACCATTTTCCCTGCCGATCCCTTCCCAGGCCTCTGCAGGCACCAAGATGGAGGACGCGCTGGGGCGGGGGGAGGGGTAGGGGTAGGGAATTTGGGGCCTCAGGGCTTTCCACACCACACGTTCCCCGCACGCCCCCTCTACTGTCCCCCACACCGACCTGGGCCTATCCTTGCAGTCTCCTCCTCCTCCTCCGGATTCTCGCCGCGAGTGCGCCGGCGCCGCAACACTTGGACCAGCACACCTGCAGAGGGCGGGGGTGGCAGCAGGGGGGCTGCGGCGGCCGTACGGCTTCGCGCGGACCCGACGCTACCCAGCCCCTCACGGGCCCCCCACGGCCGTGCCCCGCCCCCCAGCCGCCCTATCCCCCGCGCTGACCACCATTTTCTACACCAAGAAGGACGGGCGCGGTGCGGGGCAGGGCGAGAGGCAGGTGATGCCGAAGGGTCAGCGCCTCACCACAGCCCGGCGCTCCGCCTACCATTTTCTGCAGCCAAACGCGGGCTGTGGTGGGGCGGGAGGCTGCGGTCCCTCCGCCGCTTCGCCCCGGGGCTGCGGCACCCCGGTGGGCTCCGCGGCCCGTGTGGGCTCTCCCACACCAAGCCCCGGGATCGCTCCCCGTCCGCCGGGTCCCTTACCTGCTCCCCCTCCGCCTCCTACTCTTTGGGGCCGCCCCTGGTCCGCCGCCTTCAGGGCCACCGGGAGCAGGTACCGACGAGCGGGCGAGCGAGCGAGCGAGCGAGCGAAGCCCGGGTCTGACGCTACAGCGAGGCGCGCGAGTCAGCGTTGGCGGGTCACGTGAGGCCTTCGTCACTGCTCGGGGCACCGCCCCCATGCCGTGTGGGCTGCTGCCCGCGAGGTGGCGTTCGGCGGGTCCGCTAGCACAGCTCGCCTCTGCTGCTGCGTCCTTCTTAAGCAGCACCAGCCTGGGCTCTGTGACTCTCCCTTTGTGTATTCCTGGGCTTTTCTCTGCCTGCTGGGGAAGGGCAATATCTTCTCAGGGGCCTGTTGGCCATTCCCAGTTTTTCTCTGGGGACTTGCCTCTTCCTATCCTCTGCTCCAAGAATATGCTTTCTTCCACTTGCTGTGCTGTCTGCTACCAGTGCTCTCCATCTTCCCTCCACTAAGATGCATAGAAGAGATGTGTCAGGCAAAAGAGTCAGGAGAGTGGATTTTTAAGAATTCTTAGTATCTGTTTTGTTCTTTTTATATTAAGCCCCCCCCGAATCAATATACTTTTTTTTAAGGAAAATATATTTTAATTTTAAAATTAAACTTGAGGACAAAAACCCAACCACCTGTTTCTTCTGCTAAGTAAGTCACTATATAAATATAGACTCTACAGGCAGCGTCTTTTTTTAGAACTTGGAAGAAAATACGGCAGCTGATGGCTCCTCTTGTTAGGGGCTCCCAGACACATGAGGCCCTTCCATAGGGTGAGCTAACGAGTCAGTAGTGCCCCAGAGTCTTAATGAATTTTCAGAATTAAAACAACACCAGCAATGAAAATTCCTTAACAAATTTCAGGCTTAAAAGGTAATATGTAGTTCTTTATTTGCAAATCACATGATTTAGAGAATCCTAAGGTATCTACAATAAACGTACTATAGAACTAGTACTTTAATTCAGCGGAGTTGCGGCTATAGATGGATATAAAAAAACTCCATTGTATTCCTGTATGCTAGTGATGAACAATTGGAAATTGAAATTGTGTGTGTTTTGGATAGATACAGATGTAAAGATACAATATAAAGATTAATGTAAAATAGAGGAAGGTCCAGGATTAGGAAACTTAGTACTGTTAAACTATCAATTCTCTCCAAATTAATCTATAAATTTAGTGTAGTAAAAATAAAAATTTTAGCAGGCTTCTTTGTATAACTTGACAAAATTACCCCAAATTTATATGGAAATGAAAAGGACCTAGTATAGACAATGATTTTGAAAAAACAGCACAGATGTGGAAAATTATATTATCTGATTTCCAGACTGAGGTTGTAGTAATAAAGGTAGTGTAGTAATGGAGTATACATAGACACTGAATTTAAAATTAAAAGCCTCTGCTCTGTGAAAGATATGGTTAAGAAAACGAGGGGCTCCTGAATAGCTCAGTTCATTAAGCATCTGCCTTAGGCTCAGGTCCTGATCTCTTTCCTGGGATGGAGCCCCCCATTAGGTTCCCTGCTCAGTGGGGAGCCTGCTTCTCCCTCTCCCTCTACCACTTCCCCTATTTGTGCTCTCTCCCACTCTCTTTCTCAAATAAATTTAAAAATCCTTTAAAAAAAAACTTAAAAAAAAGAAAATGACGTGGGAAGCTCATCAATATGTGTAACCAAAAAAGAGCTTGTATCCAGAAGATATATAAAGACCTTCTAAAATTCAAAATAAGGCAAACAATGCAATGAAAAATGATCAAAAGATTTCAATAAGCATTTCACTAAAGTACATGTACAAATCACCAAAGAGCTCATGGAAAGCTGCTTGATGTCATTAATCACCAGGAAAATATAAAACAAGCAAACAAATATAAACAATGAATTACCACAACATGACCATCAGAATTGATAAAATTAAAAAGTCTGATAATCCTAGATTGTCAGATATGCACAGATATCTAAAAGATGTTTTGAAGATATGGAACAACTGGAAATCTCATTCCTCATTTGTTGCTGATGAGAAGTTCAACCACTTTTAAAGACTTTTTGATAGTTGCTTAAAAAGTTAAATTTATACTTACCATATGTCCAAGAAATTCCACTCTCAGGAATCTTCCCAAACAGAATTCAAACCATATTTCCTCAAAAAGATTCGTGTAGGAATGTTCATGGCAATTTCATCTAGATAGCCACGAAGTGGATACAATCCAAATGTCCATCAACAAGTAAATGTATAAACATTGTGATGTATTCATGTGTTAGGGTACTACGGAGCAACAAAAAGGAACAAACTACTGGTAGAAGCAATAACATAGATAAATCCCAAAAAACATATTATACTCAGGGAAAGATATCAGACACAAAAGACTGCATTCTGTTTGATTCCATTTATATGAAGTTTTGGAAGAGGCAAAACTAGTTTATATTGATATAAATTGGATGAACTCAGTGTTATATTGATATAAATTGGATGAAATCAGTGTTTGCCTGGCTTGAAGGTTGGAATTTTTCTGAGTTTAAAGGAGGAGTAACAGAACTTTCTCAGGTGAGGGAAATGCTCTGTGTCTTGATGGGGTAGTGACTCCATTGGTGAATACATTTGTTGAAAACATTGAACTATATAGTTAAAATGTATGCATCTTATTGCATGTAAGTTATATCCAATAAAGTTGATTAATAATCAAAATAAAACTAATTAAATACTGGCAAGAGCATTACACTAAGAATTATAAAATAATTTTGAGAAACATTAAAGAAGACCTAAATAAGGATAGATATATACTGGGTTCATGTATTGAAAGACTCAATATTTTAAGGTTGTCAATTATTCCCAAATTGATCTATGAACTCAATGCAATCCATATAAAGATCCCAGTCAGTTATTTTTTGTTGACAGGCAGATTCCAACTATATATGTGAAAATACAAAAAAAAAAAAAAAAAAAAGAAAATGTAGCCAAAAGAACCCTGAAGAAGGGAGCACCAAAACTTTCACCAGTAGATACCAAATTTAATACAATGCTACAGTGAGTAAATTATGAATAAATAATATGATATTGTCTCAAAGATGAATTTACATACGCATGCATGTACAGACCTGTGAAACATACCTACACATACTGTCGCTTGATTTATGGCAAAGGTGACACTATAGTCAAGTGGGGAAAGGATTTTTTTTCCTAAAAAGTGGTGGTAGCAGATCAGTTGGGTATCCATATGTGAAAAAATGTATGTCAACTCTACCCTAAATAACACACAAAATAAACTCCCAATGAATTGCAGATCTAAATGGGAAAGTTGAAAATATCATTCTACAGGAATGACAAGAACACAGAGGAAATCATCTTCTTAACTTTGGAATAGGCAATATTCTTCTCTTTTTTAATTTAAAATTTTTTAAATTTTTTTATTTTTATTTTTTTTAATTTTTAAAAAATTTTTAAAAGATTTTATTTATTTACTCACGAGAGACACACAGAGAGAGAGGCAGAGACACAGGCAGAGGGAGAAGCAGGCTCCATGCAGGGAGCCTGATGTGGGACTTGATCCCAGGTCTCCAGGATCAGGCCCTGGGCTGAAGGCGGCGCTAAACCGCTGAGCCACCCAGGCTGCCCTTTCTTTTTTTCAATTTTTTTTAAAACGTTTTTTTAAATTTTATTTATTTATTCATGACAGAGAGAGAGAGAAAGAGAGAGAGGCAGAGGGAGAAGCAGGCTCCATGCAGGGAGCCCAACGCGGGACTCGATCCCGGGTCTCCAGGATCACACCTCAGGCTAAAGGCAGCGCCAAACCGCTGAGCCACCGGGGCTGCCCTTTTTTCAATTTTTTATTTAAATTCTAGTTAGTTGAGACGCCTGGGTGGCACAGCGGTTGAGTGCCAGCCTTTGGCTCAGGGCGTGGTCCCGGAGTCCTGGGATCGAGTCCCACATCGGGCTTCCTGCATGGAGCCTGCTTCTGCCTCTGCCTATGGCTTTGCCTCTCTCTGTCTCTGTCTCTGTCTCTGTCTCTCTCTCTCTCTGTGTGTGTGTTTCTCATTAATAAATAAATAAAATTTTAAATTCTAGTTAGTTAACATACAGTGCAGTGTTGGTTTCAGGAGTAGAATTCAGTGATTCATTAGTTACATATAACACCCAGCGCTCATCATATCAAATGCCCTCTTTTCTTTTCTTTCTTTTCTTTTCTTTTTTTCTTTTTTCTTTTCTTTCTTTTCTTTTCTTTTTTCTTTCTTTTCTTTTCTCTTTTCTTTTCTTTCTTCTTTTCTTTTCTTTTTTTTTTTTTAAGATTTCACTTATTTAGGGACACCTGGGTGGCTCAGCGGTTGAGTGCCTGCCTTCTGCCCAGGGTGTGATCCCGGATTCCCGGCATCGAGTCCCACATCAGGCTCCCTGCGTGGAGCCTGCTTCTCTCTCTGCCCATGTCTCCACCTCTCTGTCTTTGTGTCTCTCGTGAATAAATAAATAAAGTCTTTTAAAAAAAGATTTTACTTATTTATTTGAGAAAGAGAGTACACAAGAGCCGGGATGGGGGCAGAGGGAGAGGGAGAGTAGCAGACTCCCTGCTGAGCAGGAGCTCAATATGGGGCTTGATCTCAGAACCCTGAGATCATGGCCTGAGCCAAAGCCAGACACTTAATTGACTGGGCGACCCAGGCATCCCTGAAGTCCCCTCCTTAATACCAAAGACCCATCTATCCCATTCCCCACCCATGTCTCTCCATCACCCCTCCGTTTGTTCTCTGTCTTTAAGAATCTCTTATGGTTTGTTTCTCTCTCTCTCCCCCCCCCCATATGTTCATCTCTTTTGTTTCTTAAATTCTACATATAAATAAAATCATATGTCTTTCTCTGACTTATTTTTGCCTAGCATAATACATTCCAGCTCCATCCCCTACTCGCAATGGCAAGATATCATTCTTTTTGATGGCTGAGTAATATTCCATTGTGTATATACACCACATCTTCTTTATCCATTCATCGTTGGTGGACATTTGGGTTCTTTCTTTAGTTTGACAATTGTTGATAATACTGCTTTGAATATTGGGTGCATGTATTCCTTGGAATCTTGTTTTTTTTTTTTTGTATCCTTTGGGTAAATATCTAATAGTGCAATTGCTGGATCATAG